ATTTTTGGCATAAAAGAAAAATCTATAATTTTGACCCATGCAATGTATTTTTGGCTATTGCTACAAATATACCCTGGCGACTTAAGACTGGTTTTGTGGTCCAGGGTCACATATAAGCATTTATAGCATAAAGTAAATGACACAAAATCACTGTGTTCAGCAAGTTGGCATTTCAGTTTTTGCATACATTGACATACATAATATTTTAGCTGTTGGAACAATTGTTAATCATTATATACTGATAAAACCTTTAATTCAGTGTCACAGATACAGCAGTCAGTACATCATATATACTGCAGTCTTGGATTATTGGAGAAAAAATCCTATTAGACTCAATCAAGTTTGTTTATTTTAGTTTTTGTTTTGAGTGATTCTGCGAGCATCCCTTTTTTTGTCACTAATTTGCTTGTAGTCAACACATTTTCTTTTTATGCAATTGGTTTGGTGTTACAAAAATAAAATTTTGGATTTTTGTTTTACGTTATTTTAAGTGTAAGAAAATGTAGACATACTTTCTTTTTGTATTTTCTTTCCCCCATAGAAATATAGGGGTAACTGGGATTCGCTTCTCATCATGCTGTGACAAAAAAAATGCTTACCATTGTGGCTATCTACTTATATTATATAGGACATAATTGGTAACCAGATATAAACTTAAACGCTCTAAATTTCCCCAAAGTGATCAAGTCATACACATGAACACACATGTAAACAAGTAGAGTTACAGATGTGGCTCAAAAAGTTATTTTCACCACATTGTGTATCAGATCTATAGGATCTGATCTGTACTTAACATATTGAGTAACACATGTTCAGTACATATGTTAAAGAAAAATATAACACTACTCCATCAATGTAAAGAGCTTCTGTCAAAAAATTACTGAATTTGCAATTAAATTGAGAATAATCAATTTAAACTTATGAAAAAAAGTACATAAATTGAATTTGATTTAAATTGGTGGGGCATTTTCTTTCTTTGTAAATAGGCAAACCGTGAAGAATCAACATTTGTTAAAAGTTCTGAGATGTTTAGACAGGATTAACACAACCAGAAAAACATAGCTCAGCGGCATTGCATAGTATTGTATGATGCTCTAAAATTGTTTGTAATAACACAGGTGTGTTGCTTAGAGTGTTCCACAGAAAGACTTAACCTACAAAAAACTCGAACAGGTCAAAAATAATCTTAATATATCATAGGACACATTTGAAACCCATTTTTCTCTCACATAGTATCGGACACAATTTAAAGAACACTGATAGCCATCAAAATCTATAATATGAAACAAAATTCATTTTGGATTATTTCTTTTTGTAGCATTGGTGTTTTGACTAACATAAAGCAAGAAATGTAACATACGGATATATTTTGTAAGGTCATTTTGAAGTAATAATACTGTTGCCTGCAACAGTTTGTCAAATATGAGCATTTAGCAAAAACAGCAAAAACAAATATGCATGTCTCTTCAACTGTAGGATTCAACACAATAGTATAAGATTTATTGCTTGAAAATGTTTTATTACTATATGGTTTCCAAATATAAGAAGGAAAATATAACTGGTAAAAAAAAAAAACATAGTTGTGTTAATGCACTGTGAGCAGATACATTGGTCACCATGGGGCACAGTATTTATTATAAACTGGTGTAATATTCAAGACATTAAAAGATGTAATCCGACCCCAGTGTTCCCATCAGCACTGATAGTTTTAAACCTCTCATTTTTACTGATTAAAGTCCACAAATGTGTCTTAATTCTACTGGATGTAGATGTGGAGACATTTTGGGTCACTATTTTGCCAAATCTCAGCATTAAACTTCTTGTGTAATTTAAACCATTCAGTGGTGAATGGTGAACAACAGTCCTCCATTGTTTGCCATGAAAGTGTCTTTACTTTCCGTCCGGTTCGACCCAAAATGAAGCCAAAAAAGAACAAGGAAAGAACAGCTTACACCATCCAGACGCTCCGTCTGCCACTTCTTACGGATTTAGCGGAGCCCTGCTCGTTGATTTGTTCTCCAAAGAGCAGACCTTGCGCCGCCTTTACAATCTTCAGATCAGTACAAAATGAGATTAAGTTTCTCAAAAACATACCTTCATCTGTGATGAAGAAAAAAGCCAAATGAGAGGGACACCAATGCAATTCCATTGTTTTAGGAGGGGGCGAAAAGTCACATCCACTCTGATCTGACACTGCAGAAGGCCAAACTAATCCAGCTCCTCTGCGTTCTTCTCTTCTCAACATCTCTTGCTTCTCTTTGTCCCCTCATCTCGTCCCTCGTTTCAGGCTTAGTTGACAGTGAGCACCTGGTTGAGGCTGTACTCTTTGGCCTTCAGTCTCAGGTTAGCAATGCTGTTGGCCGTATTCATTCCCTGGGTGGAAGTGGTGTTGGCACAAGAGGGTGGGTAGGTTGCCATGGTGCTGAAAATAAGGTATGAGATAGTCCATTTAAATTTGAATATGTTAAATGTATTCCAAATTCAGTTAGATTCAATTGATGAGAAATAAGCCCCAAATTAAAATTAAAATGAATAAAAAAAAAATATAGAAAATGTTTATTGTTTTCATGTTAATCCAAAATATAATTTTTTAATTTTTCAATTTAAATGATAAACCATAAAAAGAAATGTAAAAAGTACTTGCTTTCTGTGGGCAGCATTTTCTGTGGCATTCGCATTGGCCCTCCCTCCGGCCTTGGGTACCAGCTTAAGAATATATAAATAGTTAATAATTCTTCAGAAATACTGCATTAATATGTATGCATTATATGTGCACAGTAATACGTTAGGTGTGCGTTGAAATTGTGCAAGCTCGTTTTACTGGCATGGTCGCTAGTCAAATGCGCATCCATGCCAGAAAGTGTTCCCAGTCGAGTTGCATATTTCAGCTGCTGGGAAAAAGGTATTTGGCCGGAGTGGCAGAGTTAGTTACTCTATATGGCTTTTAAGAATGAAGATTACTGTAAATCACAAGCAAAGTGTAACTAGAGTCACAAAAAATCCTGCCCAATGGACTTTTCTCCCTCTGAAAATCAATTTGTATCCTATGGCCCAAAGGTCATGAGGGTCACAGGCGGATTTAATATGGTTTGTTTTCAGATTATCACTTCATCATCAGGGGATTGGCCCTCCATCACTTTCACAAAGAGTAGCGGAAAACGACTTGCTAGCCAGTCCTTGTGCTACTTTGGACTATTATACCTACGCAACGCTGCTGGAAATAGCAGGGCATTGCCGTTTCTGCTTGTATTTGAAGGAAAACAAAAGAGCTTAAGAATGAAATTGTACAAAAAAAATCTAATCTAAAACATTTGGAAGAAGAAAACATGGGCAATTGGAGAAGATGAAGTCACGGCAGGAGAGCAGAGGACATACAGAGAGGAAATGAAATGTAACCAGAGCGCTCGGATGAGAAGGACTCAGAGAGTTACCTGTACGGGGCTGCGCTCCCCCAGGACAGGTAGTCGTTCGGACGTGGTGCAGGACGGGGGACGATAGGCTGCTCCATTGCCGTTATATCGCCTGAGTATGATTTGAGAAGTGAAGCGTTCTTACTGGCCAGCATTGCCCGCTCATTGCGCCGAAACTTTGCCCGTCTGTTTTGGAACCACACCTATGAGAACACAAGCCGAAATGACACAGTATGGTGGTTACTTATTGCACAGCGATTGAAGACAAATTGCAGAGGAAAGCAGATTCTTAGATTCAAAACATTAGCTGGTATAATATTGCCTGCATCAAAAACAAAAAATTGCTAGATCAAAGCTATAAAATTTCAGATGTTTTTGTGTTCTGTGACCTTAGATGATTTTTTTTTTATGCTTGAAATTGTTCCCTACTTACATGACTGGCTCAGCTATGATCAGATTCAGAAAACAGAGTGTTAAGATTGATATTAAATCAATCAAAATGCAATCAAAAACATTTTTTCCAGTTTCAAACTTAACATAACTGCATTTTGCCCTTGTAGTACAATATTTGGCTGCACTTTTTGAAATGTATCCTGATCCGCCGGTGCACACATGTACACCTTTTTTGCAGAGGACACATCAGAGGTTTGAAGAGTGAGCAAATGCGCTTGAGAAACATGGTTGAAGACAGAGCGGGAAGCCCAGATCTCGAAGCCTTGGCTGCAGCACCAGGCCTGGTGGAGGCACAGTGTCCGGTTACGCAGCGCCTGAGGAATGAGCTCAAAGTCTCTTTTATCAAAGCATTTCTGTATTGCTCCCTTTCTGGGACACATTAATTGCAGATGTGTTTGTTCTGTTTCTTTCCTTTCATTCTCCCCTTCCTTCTCTTGATCTATAAACGGGAATAATCCCATCTTTCTACAAAAACAGTCTCATTACAGGAGAATGTGGAGACTGGCTGCAGCCGACAGCATGTGTGCTGAGAGGCAGAGTGATCGGCTGGGGATTTTTAAACAATCATACTGAACTCTGACGATGGGGCCGATGACAACACCAAGCTTCAGTGTTACCATCACGTACATCTGTAACTGCATCTTTGCTGAAACCTTGAATTAGGCAAGTGGTTAAATCTTCTTTTGATTTTGGTCCATATTATTTTGAAGTATTATGCATAAAGTTCAGTATGCTTTTTTATGAAATTCTCAAAATTGATGCATTCTCTAATCAACCAGTAAAGACCCAATAGAATGCAGATGGTGATTGTGGGGTGTGAAGTTTACCTGAACTCTAGCCTCGGTGAGATTGACCCTGCGTGCCAGGTCTTCTCTAACAAAGGCATCTGGGTAGTGTGTCCGCTCAAACACTCGCTCCAGCGCTTGCAGCTGGCTGCTGTTGAACGTGGTTCTATTCCTCCTTTGTTTACGCTTCTTCTTTTCTTCTGAGTTCAGCTGCTCATCTGGTAAAACACACACATATAAAGTTATATCAGGAGATGCAGCTTTTATATAATTCAAATTTAATATCCATCAGCAGGTGTATAGTTCTCATTATGTTACTGTTATTATCATTGCCATTATTGTTATTTTGTATGCTGCTGATTTAGAAATAATAACAGATGATAAGATGTTATTCTAAAATAACATCTTGATAAGTGTTATAATTTAAAGGAAACCTTAAAAAAGATAAATCTCATTGATACATGTTTGCAAAGCATAAATCACAAACAACTATTTATTAAAATATAATATTTACATTTTTGCCTTTTGTATTTTTTACTGTGGCTTGAAAAATAATATTTAACACAAATTTACACTGCAACCAGTGAAGTGATTCTAGTTATTAACCCAGTGGGCATTACTGTACAATATATCTAATGAATAATGTTTAGTTATTTCTCACAAGACCAGAAACCCATAATAGGGGCTAATTTCCCCCCTCAAGTCATTTATAAATATAACTTTAACTTTGCTTTTCATGTCATGGATTTCTTTAGACAAACGATCATGGTTGCGATCACGTGCGATCATGGTTTTTGTTCTTGCTCATGTTTTATCTTTAGTTAGCACTAAAGGAAAGATTTATAAACAGAGAAAAGGTTTAGAAATGCCTTTGCTGTTATTTAATCCGGCCAACAGTACTGCAAAATGTCCTCTGTTTGTTTCACTGGTACTTTTACAATCAAGCAATAAATAAATAATACAACCTAGAAAAGGAGCATGTCAAAACAGGCATATTTTGAAACAATGTTTAAAGAGCATATTCCCATCAGTACTTTACAACCAAAAGCACACTTAACTCAGACTCTCATGAGACTCGATAATCATTCATCTGACAGCACAGACAAACTGCAGCCTATGGATTTGCCATCCCTTTGCTTTTCATGACAACAGTAGTTACACTACCATAATTTTCCAAAAGGATCACAAGATGAAGACTGACATTTGACCTAGGCATAGCAGGGGGTATAGGCCCTTTAGGCTTGTTGTAAAGATTGTTAAATGCCAGCATTTTATTGGTTCAATTTCAGATTGTAAAGGTCAGTTTAAGTACTATTTAAACTTCCTGTTTGCTTCATTTAAATGAAAACTCAAGTGGTTTAATGGGGCATTGGGCTTGTTATGGGGAATGCTTAAAAATGCTTCTACAAAATGAGTCCAAGAGTTTTAGGAAAAACACTGACAAATAATTCATGAGTGAATGGATTCTAACAAAATATAAAACAAGAATATTAGACTGTGTTTGAAAACCTCATGAAACCTTTTCTGATTTCCCTGTATTTGTCATTTCTCATCTTGGAACAATCCTCAAAAGATGACAACAATAAGACCATTGATATTAATACATACATTTCAGTGTGAATTTAATCAAATTTGTGGGGCAAATTTCATCAAAATGTTGTCCTTAAAAACATAAATTACTTAGCTAAACTGTAAATTATAATCTAAAACCAAACTCACGTTCTCAGAGTTTGAAATTATAGCTATGTGAATGGTGTGTGAGTATACTTGGTTTGCACACCAAAAGAGAACTAACGGGTTTAATCTTCTAACGCGCGGCTGGGGAATAAACGAAAAAACAAAAACAAATGCAGATACTGTTGACAACCCTTTCCTACTTTACGTAATAAAATGTTAATTTCAGGATAGAGGTACGGTCTTAAAATACAACAGAATCAGTTGGGGGAAAAGTTATTATTATTATTATTATTATTATTAAATTGTGAATTTCACTACTATAAGAACGGCAATGTACAAGCAAACGTGATTCTCTTAAATTGTTACGATTAATAAATAAATAAATAGCCTAATATAGAAAGCGTAATGTAAAAAGTAGGGCCTACCCGTAATATAGCCTTCTAAATTTTAGGTTAATAAAATAATTCCACTGTAACATAAGTTTGAAAGATATCAACAGGCCAAAATATTTTTTCCTATTTCCCGCAAAGCACAGAAGACACGACTTAGCATATAGGCCTATAGCTGTAGGCATAAGTAATGGGAGTTTGCTATTTGATACCATAATCGCATATGTAGGCTATGTTCTCCGGATGCAGGATAATGATGACAAATTATAGTGATTCAACGAACTGAAAAGGTCCAGAAAGTAGATTTAGTATTTTGTTAGTATTTTATTTTTTTTGTATTTTTATAGCGCCCTTTTTATCGTTCATATTTTCCTTAGACCAAGAAAACTAATAAATAAATAAAAAGACATTTGCCTGTCATTCATTTTCATATTTTCCCCCTTTGCATATGCTCTGCTAAATATTATATAGCCTAAAGCAAATTATGAAAATATAGTCGATGTCAGGAAGCAGGTTCGCGACGTTTACGGGGCCATATTTTCATTAATGCATTACGGACTGGAATGTCAACCATCATAAATTATGTACAAAATGCGTTCACGACCCATAAACTTTTATCATGCGGAATTCTTTCTTCTTCTTTCAGGAGAGAATTTTCGTATCACCTGTCTATTTGCTAATGAAAACTGTAGCTATAGTAGGCAAGTATAGCCTTTAAAAATCCTAAATTTAATTTACAGATTAATCCCGTCTCTTACTACACCACACTCAAGTAGTCATAAAATTTGACAGTTTTTTGAACGCTACCAGTCTGCTATTGTCAGTTTATTTTCTAGTGTTCAATATTAATGATTCTGCCTATCTGTCTACAACAACACTTGATTTTCTTATGGAATATGAGCAGACGCTTACTCTCCTGTTGTGTTGAATCACTGCCGCTGGTTAAACCCGGAGATTCCAGCATAGTCCTGCCCGTTTCGCCAACACTTTCGTCCGCCTGAGAACCGACAATTTCTCTAGCCTCCTCTAGATCCAACAGGTGGCTCACCGAGAAGTTCTTTTTGGCTTGCAGGTTTTCCAGGTTGGCTGTAATGGGACTCTCCAGTCTGCTGGATATGGTTGCTTGTCTGTCCATTACATGGGCATAGCTAGAAGTCATGACGCAAATACGATACAAGAGAAAAAAAACTGTGTATTAGGTTAACCAAACAGGTCCTCCTTGCGTAACCTATATTTGAAGACAAACTCATAAGAAACAGCGCCTCCAAACCGATGTCTTCTTTGCCTTTGCTGACTATGATAGCTACTTATCCAGGTGGAGCAATATTTCAACCTGGTCTAAAACTTGGTGGAACTTAATAGAACTATAAAGACCACGAAGTCTGTTGAATCCGTTCCCTCGTAGCCATATAATCTCTTTCTACAAAATATTGTTGCTTCAATAGGGGGAAAAACTCCCCGAGCTCCAAAGCTGTTGACTGAGCGCCGATCCAGAAATGCTGATGCCTTTCAGATGCATGCGTGTAAAGCAGCGAGAGGAGGCAGGACACTCCACCGCCTTCCCGAAGCCGTTGGCTCTCTCCTCTGCTCTAAGCCGTGCTCTCTGCTCACTCACACACACATACACACACACACACACGTTCTGGCACTTCAAACGGCGCGCTCACTGGCATGCAGTGGAGTGAATTGTAAATGAAAAATTGAGACCCCTGGGAGAGAAGATGGAGCTGAAAGGCTCTCGTAATTACGTGGCAAAAGACTTTGTGCTGTCTTTGACGATTAACAGCCCTCCTCCCTCCTCATCACAGTCTCCCTTCGAAGGTTAACCCTCCCCAATCTCTGAATTCCAGATATCTGTCACTTTTTATCATTTCGCCCAACAAAACTAACATAAACAATGTTAACGCGAGTGGTGGCATCTAGACATTAAGTTTGTAAGAAATGTCCATTAATTGGATGGTTTGGTTAAATACAGATGTAGTAAGATGGCATCTTTAAGTTTTTACGCGAATGAAAACGAGGCCGTATTAGGTAAAGTTGAACCATTGAGGCCATTCACACAGAACGTGTTTTTGCGTTAAAAAAATTGGAATGGGAAAAACGCCGCGTCTTTAGAACGCTGTGTCATTCGCAAAAGCGCAACAAAAAACGCAAGACGGGGTGAAAAGACGTCAGTCACATGTTTACATTAAAAACAACGGAAAAGCAGCTCGGTGGAATACAAAAAATAAAACAAAACGTTCTGTGTGAATAGCCCCTTAAGGTCCTATCACCAGTATTTTTTAATTTTTTTTGGAAAGACACAGGCCTATTTTTGATAATGCGTTCGGCGTTTTTTCATTCGCTTCCTTGCATAGCATCATTTTCATTGGCTAAAAGATGATACTCTGCCTGTAATGTTCATTGATTCGTTTGTTCAGTACCCTCAAATATATAATGTTGTTCGGCCTTCTTTCAAAAGAAATAAAGACAATTTAATTTCTCAGAAGTTTGATAATACCACTAGCCTATAAGAATACTCTGGCAACCATAACAAAGCACATGCATTAGCAGTTAATAGCCTATTTCAATGCTACAACTAACGTTCAAAGTTTTGTCATCTAGATAACTTTTTGTCATCCAGACTCGCATAGACTACGTTATCTGTCAAACCAAAAACCGGAGAAAGTTCTGGCTGCAGTGGCCTATATTCCAGCTGGGACGGGAGTAGTGTCAGACCACTTGGTGAGCTATAAACAGGGGCTTTCACAAGGTAGATGTGCATGTGTTTCAATGGCAAGAGTCTATAGGCTCCTTACTGCCACAGACATCCCGTAGCTTCCAGCCCCAGATCTGGGAAAAGAACACTTGATGCCATCAAAGGAAAACGGATTGAACCCAGATGTGCTGCTTTCGTTCTTTCCATGTATTTAATTAAGCCGCTGTTGGGATGGAGTAGACCTTTTTCATCATTAGTTCTCCCTCTACATTCCCTCAGCTGCCAGCTCCTCTACAAGCGACTTCTCTAAAAAAGGCCTGGTGAGGGATCGTGCAATAGAAGACAGTCTGTAAAACCGGTCCTTTCAACCACAACCAGCAAAACGTTTTTTAGACAAATGTCAAATCCGTGTGGCACATGTCCATCATCGCTTGAACTCAGACGTCCCATGCAGTTGAAAGACATTAGGCTACATTTGTTTTTGGCCTGTTAAAATCCAAACGTTAAAGTTTTTTTCTGTTTCAAGATGACTTTGGACCGACAACTTAAATTTAGACAAAGATTTATAATTTGGACAGCTATACCAGAAAGTGTTCTTCATCAATTTCCTTATTTTGTTTCCATTTTAATCGAATTCCATTGGTTTAAAATCCAATATTTGATCAGTGGAGTTCTATGACTTTTCCATTCATTTGATATTGCTGAGATTTAAATAAAATATAAAGATACTGCACTAAATGTTTTAGAACTGAACTAGAATAAATTACGTTTTTAGATTTTATTCATCTGCATTTTCCAGGGCAGTTTTCCAGGCCTGTAAAGCATAATCTTCCCGATATCATTGGGTTTTCCATGACCATGGAAAGTCTGTAAATAGATGGACAAAATAACGAAATGAAGGGCTATTGTATTTCGCTTAAAAAAAAAAGTAAATAAATAAACATAAATAATAATAATAATAATAATAATACATTTTAAATTATTAAAAAACCACCAAAGGACAAATCATCATTGAAATGTGTTTTGTAAATGTATTTCTTTGCCTGTTATGATTTTTCAACAGATGCTTTTATAATGTGTGTAATTGAAAACATGACTCATAACTCTGTGGATTGACATAATGGCATTGTGATAAAAACAGACTCAACAATCCAGCTAAATGCATGAATTACAAAAGGAGTGAATTAGTAATCGAAATAAAACCCAGAACAAGGACAATACACTTAAGTTCACGTCTCAGAATATATAGGCCTACATATTTTCTATCCACAGAACCATGTGATTGAAAAAACCATGACATCCTTTGAATTAAAAACGTGTGTAGCCTATTGTCCGTTTGTTTAAAATTAGCCAATTTACAGTAGTTAAAACAATATACACAATATATTCTTACACGCAAATAATAAAGAAAAAGCACTGACCAATTTGTCAGGAGATGTGTACGACCATTTTAATGCGCCTCGTAGCACACTAATTATTATAAGAATAGGAAATGGGATTTTGTTTGGTTTGGTAGTATTGTAGCAAGTACTTTTAAAATAAGCAGCGTTCTCGCATCAGTAGTGTTGAATTATTATTTATAAACACGCTTTAACATGGCCCAAGTCTGACTACACCAGCACTGCATTTTTTCAGACAATGAGAAAAATGTTGTCTTAAAACGCGTTTTACCATTCAACAGAAGTCGTCCAGTTATTGCTCACGACACCATAAACATTTAGTATATATATATATATATATATATATATATATATATATATGT